AAAATAAAGTTCCATAGAGTAATTCTTAAAAAAAAAAAGAGAGAGAGACAGAGACAGAGACAGAGAGAGCGAGCTAGTCCTCTGCATCAGAGTTTGAGGTTTATCAGTAACAATGGGAATGAATAAAACCAGCTTGTCCAGTGTTTGCCATGGCCCCTGCACCACCTGGGAATAAGATACAGATGTTCAGGTCTCATCCCAGATCTACGGAATTACAATAGCGAGGCCCAGAAACCTGCTTTAACGATTTTTCCAGATAAACACTTGAGGCCCAGCTGTGGTGGTACATATCTGGGAGGCTGGAAGCTGTGTGGGAGGCCTGGGTTCAGTTCCCATGCCCACCCCAACATGCTGGATGCGATCGCACACACCTGTAAGCCTAGCTAATCGGGAGGCTGGGGCAGGGGACCTGTACACCGTGAGACAATGCCCAAGAGAAAAGGATGTGCACGGATATAAACGAGGAGGCTGACTGCAGACACAGGGTGGCCATTTGAATGGCAAATATAGAAACTGGGCCAGTCAGTGGTGTGGAGATCAAGGTAGCTGGATCCCACGTGGCCAACTATGCGGTTCAAGTTCAGACCCAGCAGCTTGGAAAATGTACCAGGTGCAAGTGCGTGTCTACCCAAAATTCCAAGAGGAGAAGGGAGGAGAAGGGATCGTGAGTGGCCATCTCCCCTGGAGATGACTTCTCATCCTCTCTCTCTCTCTGGCAAGCACACATGCCCTATAGCAAATCCAAAAAAAATAAAATAAAATAAAATGGAACTACCCTAAAGAAAAAAAAAAAAAAAAAAAAGGGAACTACCTTAAAACAAAAAAAAAAAAAAAAAACAGGCTAACGTGGGTTTGTGTCATTGCTGCAGAGGAGGCAGCTGTCACTGTCACTGCAGATGTTGGGCTGGGTACACTCAGCGTCCTGCGTGCAGTAGAGGACGTTCTCAAGGCCGTATCAGGGCAAGTGCTCCACACTGAGGACAGCTCCACAGGGTTTGGGGCCGATCAGGCTCGAGTCGTGTCTTTCCACATTTTCTCTGATACCTGGGGAACACTGGCCAAACTCTGCTGGGGCCCTAGCAGAACTAGGGAAGCATAAAGATACACAAATAAGGGAAATGCACACTTGAGATGGAAAAATGGGAAAGGAAGTTGGAAAAAAAAGGAGATGAAAATAACTTTGCTTCGTTGACCTCAAAGCCAAAATGCTCTGAAGTTTTGTATCTACATGACGGCTTTTTTTATAAATAAGCCATGACAAAGCCTTGCTTTTCTGTGAAGTTGGTAGGAAAAAAATTGAGCCAGTCCCCACGTTAGAGCCTTTATAACCTACATGAAATATGCTTGAGAATCAGAAGTGGAACTCTCAGCCTTACGTCTTATACTGTATCTAGCATGGGTCTAAAGTTTTCCCTTACCAGTTCTAGCAGAGAGAATGCCATCCTGGCTCAAAAGCAGACACGCTGGTGGAAATCATACAGTAGAGTGTTGGGGAAAAGATGGGCATGGGAACAGCTGTAAGTTCAAATCCTGTCTCCTTCACTTGTTCAAGTCATGAGCTATTTCTGAACCATGGAAGAGGTCTGCAATTATTCCTATTTTATAGGATTAAATGAGAAAATATAAAAGAAGTGCCCAGGGCAGTACCTTGTGAATACTGAATAGGTATCTCTGTCTCTTTCCTAAACATGTCATCATGCTAAACAAATATTGAATGCTCCTGCGAGCAAGTCAGAAGGCTTTATCATACTCTTTGGAGACTCTCTTTCCACCATAGCTAACCCTTTAAGAATATGAAGAACATCAATAACTACTACTAAGCAGAAGCCACATCTCCAAGGCAACCATGGTTCAAATCCCCATTCCACTTGGCCTGAAACACGCTGGGCACACACACGTGTCTGAGATCTGACAGGCTAGAGGACTGGAGGGATGAGATCGCGGTGCGACTGACTCTGGAGCATGCTCGTTCCTCTCGCTCTGCCTGTCTCATGTACCTAGGCTCTATCGTGAATAAAGAAAAAAATGAAAATCAATAAATCAACTTGTACTTTGATTCCATTTTCCCACAAACTTTTTGATGTCCCCTTAGAACCAGTTGCCTGACCTCAGTTTCCTCGTCTGTAAGAAGAAAGGCAGGAGAGAAACGCAGTGTCTGTTACAAGAGCTGTTAATATACTTAGGGCACTTGAAATAGGGTCTGGCACGCACTGAGCCCTAATTAATTATTAGCTATTTAAAAATCTGGGACACATTTACGAATGGTTAAAATTGTGAGCTGAAGAGTTCAGGAAAGACATAAAACCTTGGTGACTTAGTTTCCCCAGATGTAAACTGAGGAATGTAACAGAATCTGCTTTCTATGTTTGTGGTGAAGCTAAATGAGGCTGCCATGCAGAAACTCTTTTCACAATGCCTGACACACAGTCAGTGCTTGGTAAATGTCAGCAGTCGTTATCAACATTCTAAGAAGCAAGGATTAGCGTTACCCTTTTTTAATTTCCTCTACAAATGAGAAAGGAACTGAGAAGCAAAATAGGATCTCAATGCCACAATCCTCCCCAGTTTCAGCCAGCTCTGGGTCATGGGCACATGAGTACCCAGCATCCTCAGGGAATCCTCTAGATGTGAACCCACCACCTTTGCACGTGGGTCAGCCTTGCAGAGCACTGCATTACTGCTATGTCATTGTCTGGCCCTCCTTTTTCATTTATGAATAAAAGATGACTCAGACCTAGAATGGGTTAAGTGTCCTGCCAACAATACCTCAGCCAGCAAACTACTGTGCCAAGATTTCAGCTCAGATGGGTCTGAAATCAGAAGTTGTAACGACTACCCTCTACTTCCTGTTTAAATAGGGATTAGAGAACATAAGGGCTAATTCATATCTATTAAATTACTAAAACAGAGAAAGGTGTTTTGCAATCCAGTCTAAAATTTGGGGAATTGTCCATGGAACCAACCATGACTGGCTGAAAGCTCTTCTTTGCCACGCTTGGAAATGAAAGTCTACGTAGAGTGGACCCTGTTCTCGACTAGTTCTCTGCCTTGCACCAGTGGTTGTTAAACCACAGCCCTGACACCAAGAGAGGAAAAAGAAGCCATTTCCCCAACTAGATTAACTTGCAAAGTGAACCCTTAACGTAAAGTAAAAATGTCAGGCGCTGAGAAAGAAACCAAGACTGCTCCAAAGTCAAATACCATCGCTACAGTAGAACACAAACGTTACTCTTTAGTAATACACATTTACTTGAAAAGAAAGGGCAGTGTTTATTTCTATTTTGAGGATACCAAATTCAGAAGGCCTTCTCCTTAAACAAGAGGAAGTGTGCAGAGCAGCGGGGACAGAGCAGACAGTGTCCCAAGGCAGAGACCCCGAGGGAGGCCCAGCATCAACCTGAGCAAGTCCCACATTTCAACACCCATCGACTCACCAGTGAAAGGGAACACCACTGGCAGAAGTCACAGGGTGGCCAAACAGAAGTCAGGGCTCATCGCAGTATTTCCCATCTTGCACATACTTACTTCCAAATGCAGTTTATGTTTACATCTTTATTCAAAACCATCCTACCAGTCCATCTCAATCTACCATTCTTTTTTTTTTTTTTGGAGAGGTTTTCACTATAGGGCGCGTGCGCTCACCAGACAGAGAGAGACATAGAGACAGAAAGCGAGAAATCACCCCTCAGGAGGGATGGTCACGCCGCAATCCCTTCTCCATTCTCCTCCCGGGATCTTGGGCACGCACACACACGCGCCCGGCATGAGTTTTAAGCCACCAGGTCTGGGACGCGAACCGTGGTCGACTACGTGGGAGTCCAGCGACATAGCCATTACGCTAACTGCTGGTTCCTTCAATCTACCATTCTTGAAATAAAGATCCAGCCATAGGAGGGGTCTTCCAAAAGTTCTTGGAAAACGTGTATTATGAAAGAAAAAGACTATGCATTCCTTTCAAAGGGGTTGTTTTGACACTAAAACTCACACTTTAATTTCATTTTTTACCAGTTTTGTGAAGTGCCCTTAGGAACAGGCATCCCTAGAAGTGATGGCAGTAGACTCCCTTCTCACCTCCTCTCTTACTGAGGAGCCCCATCAGAGGTGGCCAGCGGTCTGAGGACCCCTTATTCTTACTGACACCCCCCCCTCACCGGTCTGCCCAGCCCCAGAGATGAAGGGGATTATGCATCTCAAAATCCGGTCCCAGGGCCCAGGATGGGCAGGACTCTGGAGTAGGAGTCCCATGCCCGCCAGATTCCCAGGCCTGTTTTGGCTCCCTTCTGGCTGAATGATCCTGGTCACCACACACCCCGGGTCTCAGTCGCTAAGTGAAAGGTTGAAGGCGATCACGTGCACACCTCCCTCCTGCTCTAAATTCCTAATGCCATGACTGCCACGAGTGGCGAGTCTTGCGGAAAGAGAAGCCCTTCCTTTCAAGCAGGACATGTTGCTCGCATTCTGTGGCCATCCCCCTCAGCCCTTGTGATTACAGAAAAGTAGGATGCCCCCAGAACCGGAAAACAGGCTGTTGCTTTCCCCTGTCACCACACCTGATCATCAATCCGTGCGGACATTCTCTTGAGCTTTTTCCCCTCCACCCCACGATCTCACCACAAAACCGTGCCTACCCTTCCCAATGAACTCAAGCTCTCGCTAGTGAATTAACCTCCTCCCCCGCCCCCTCACGCCCGGCCTGGCGCAAGGTGCCACCGCACTTTTTCCGGAATTCACGTTCTGCCTCTGCCCCAACCTCCCCCAGGGTGTCTTTTTAGCCATGAACCCCTGGATCAGTCCGTTCCATGTCCCCGAACAAACGCAACGGCAGTTTCTTCCTCCCCTGCACACTTGCGCTGGAAAAGAGGCAGCGCCTGAGCTCTGATCCCCCGGGCCCGAACCTCTTCCGAGCCGGTAGGGAGAGGTCACCCGGGCAAAGCAAGCAGGGGGCTGCGGTCCCCACCCAGGCGGCGCAGGGCCTTCGCAGCAGGTCTCCTGTCACTTACTGGAGGCTGCTCCCGGCAAGGCAGGGCCGACGAGCGGACGGCGGGCGAGCAGGCGGCGCGCTGAGTTTGC